CATCACAAGTCCACCGCTCGACCGTATTTACGGAGGCCGAAGGGCCGCATTGCGACCCCGGTTGTAGTAGTAGAGCATACTCGGCGACGATGTCTGGCGGGGCGATAGGCCAAATACCGAGTGGCCTCCGTAGTTTGGCCCTGGTTTCGGGCGACCTGCACTGGGACTGAGTCGCGTGGACAGCAAAAAGGTGTGTGTTTAAAAAAAAAATACCGAACGAAGCGTGGTCGTTCTGGGCTCGCCCATCGGCCATCCAGACTTTGTTCGCGCATACATGGGCAGACAAACGCATAAACACACGGAGCGGTAACTGCTGGACCACCTGCCGCAGTTGCGTGTGGCTTCTTGTGCACATGTGTGCGTCGCCGCGGGCAAACCACGCCATCCGCACCATGCCACCTTCCCAGTTCGCCACCTACGCCGCCGCCCACGACGAAGCCAGTTGGCAAACTTTGCAGACGTGTTTAGGCGGGGTTCTATCAGGAAGCAGAGCCAGCGCGGGAACTGGCCACATGTCTTGCGACTCACCGCGGCTCCGGCTTGCAGTCGGCCATACGGACGGCCTTCGCCTCTACTGGGCAGCATGGGCTGTTGCCTGGCGCGCAAGCACTGCCTCTGCAAGACGTTTTGCACGACATACCGTAGCTCGCAGGTGCACTGAGACAGCGCGGGGATCCAAACCCGGGATGCGGCCAAGCGGTCGACACACTGGGGGACCACGCGCTCGCCCGTCCCCGGACGGGGTTGCTTGCCAGACGGGCAAGGGTGGAAATAAAAGTACAGAGCAAAAACGTGGTCGAACGCGCATGGTGTTGCGTAGCGAGGGAAGCAGTCGGTGCCAGGTGAACTCGCTGCCCCGGCAGCATCTTGGGCAGCCTGGATGGACGCGCTGCCGGTCATCCGTTCCCGCCTCCCGCAGGCCGCTGAACATTCCCTGGAAGCCTGGCAGAGCCACAGTGGCGGACCGGCTTCCTGCCTGCGAGGGGCAGCAGCAGCGCGTAATGTCCATGCGACGCGGATGCGGAACTATCGCGATATGTCGCGATCGCGTGTTGTTGCCGGCCCTGCAAAAAGCTTCCGGCGCGCTTCTGCGGGGCCGCAAGGCGGGGCTTGGCTGGCAGCAGTGCTGAGCGAGTCAGCAGTCACGTTGGCCCCTGAAAGCATGCAGCTCGCACTACGGCGACGACTGCGCTTGCCCTTGCCTCTGCGCCCCAGCCGCTGCGGACCGGGACCGGGGTGCGGCCAGAGGGTAGGCACTTATGGTGACCATGCCCTCGCATGCCTGGGAGCAGGCATGCCTTCGCAGTGGCTGGCGCACACCACGGCGCTCGGCGTGTCGTCCGATCACCGCCTCGACTTCGTGGTGTACTCTGCAGCGCTGCGAAGGGGCGCGATGTGCTGCCCCTCACTCAGCCGGGCAGGGCAACCAGACGGGCGCCGCCGACAATGAGAGAGCCAACATATCTAAGCGCAACATTCTCTAGACACGATTTCGGCTTCACAATCCAAAATCAAAGTCGGGTCTCTTCGGACTCTCACTGGACAGCTCTACTGGCACTGCGGCCCATGGTTCCTGATTTCCTGGCCTTTGTTCCTGCAAGCCCTGCTTCTGTGTTGTGACTTAAACTGTCTCCCTCCTCGGACTAGCACTGCGGAGTCGAACAAACCCCTAAGACTCAGCGCGTGTGCCTGCACTCGGAGGTCCAAACTCAGCGCACTCAGCCGAAGGTAGATGGCTCTTCCACATGGATTCATGGTGAGGGTGTAAAGGGTTTTACAGCAGCCCCTTCAAGAAGCTCGTTATGAAGGCATTCTGCATTTCTGCGACCAACGTCTGAGCAGTGTTCCTTAGTTCCCGAGGTTTCACCCCTCCAAACCGCCCGAGTTCCTCGCAGACATGGGGGCCATGATTTCAAACTCCGCGGCTTCAATCTGTCTCGGCATCGGCTTCTGTGGTTTGCTTTGGTTCGTGCTGCTCGGGCTGCACACTGGGACAGTGCAAGTTTGTTTACGTGTTTTGAAATTTTAGTAGTGGGAGGTGGAAGCGGCATCGGGTTGCTGCTCTTCCGGACATCAGCGTGCCCGAGGTGTTTGCCCAAGTTAAGTAGTGAGAGCATCGTTCAATGGGTCGCGCCGCTCCGGGAGGCACTTTACGCCTTGGCGAAGCTCGGCAGCTCTTGGCGCACTGCGCGAGCACATGTCTTCGCATCTCAACTCCAACGAAGGGCAACACAAAACTGCGATGCTCTTGACGAGGCGTGCGGAAGACCGAAGCAAACGAGCAGAGTGCGCCAGGGCGCTTACCAGCATCATGGCCGGTGAGGTGCTTTTCAGACCACTGTGTACTGCTCGCCGACGGGCATCTTTGGGAGGTGCAGGTGTTGGAGGAAGTCCTGGATGAGTCTCGAGGGAAACACCCCGAGTTGGAAGCTTAGAGAGCTTGCATCTGGCGTCGTGTGTTGAAAGTTCAACAGTGTCTCAGGTTCGGAGGTGTGTTGCCTGATGGACGGGGTGTTCTCTCGGTGCCCCGGACAGCAGACAGCGTTGCACAACGCAGCCAAGGAACTTAAAAGTTTCGCGGTTATTTGCTATGGAAAAGGTCGTTCTGGACGACCTGAGCTGCCATAGCGGCTTAGCATCCGACACGGAGGCAGGGAAAGGTCACTTGCCAGTAGATTCTTTCTAACAGTTTCTTCTTTCGGCGTGTGATCGACAAAGGCCTTTGCAGACCTGCTTCTGCAGTGCACTGCTTTCGATGCATCTTGGCTGCAGCCTGTGTATCGAACAGATGCCAAGTCACCGGATGGCATTTCTCCAGGCAAGTTGGGATGAGACTGATGAGTGGAATGAGCTTGTGCTCGAGGCTGTCACATATTTGAGGCCGCGGCTGTTTTCCATTATGTGTGCGAGCACTGATCAGCGGTGTATTGAAGGCAAGATTTAAAGGCAGAAGCCTTTGTTGCAACTGCCGAGAGCAGCAGCAGCTCGCCTACTGTCCGAGAGAAGGCCAGAAGCACGTCCATGCAGAGGTGCCGAAGCCAAAAGTGGTTTGATGTCAGGCGTGTGCTTTGCATCGCCGATTGCGTGGCGAGCGTGCTCCGCTTCTTTATGCAGCATGGGCGCTCGTTTATGTCGCCTGTGACAGCTGAGGAACAGCTGAGCCAACCAACAAAGGCGCCGACTTGATGTACAGCTGTCCTCCAGAATATTGAACATGGCACACTGATGCAGACGGGTCTTGACGAGTAATGAGTTGCTCATGATAAGGTGCCGGTGGCCTGCTGAGTCATAAACCACTCGAGACGGCCATGATGGGCCCCTGCCCTTGCTCTTTGCACTAGTGAGCACAAGCAGGTGACTACTCTAGAAGAGATGCTCCCCAAAAAGCCGTTTTGTGATTGTGTTGCACAAGAATGAGTTTCGACTTTACCACTCGATAAGGCCGATAAGGTCTGTGGCCTAGTGTGTTGCCCTCCGTGTCTTCTGCCAAGCTTTACAGCAAACACCCTCTGGCCGCCAAAATGTCCAATGAGAATCAATGAGAGCATGGACCTCGTCGTCCATCCGCGAGGGCAGAAGGTCAGCATAGCTTCCACACCGAGCCAGCGTTACGTCCAAACCCAGAGCATAGCGTCAGCATCCGTGCCCTGCATCCATCCCTCAATGCCTGCCCCCAGCGAGAATTTCAGAGCCAAAGGCGCATCCGTGCCCTAGTCAGGGTTACATTCAACCCGCAGCAGCCGGAGCCTATGGGGCCCTGCTCGTTGTCATGTCGTGCTGATTTCACACGAGCGCACATGAATCTATCCAAGCATCCGAACATCCGTCCGTCCGTCTGTAGTACACAGCCAGGAGTTCCAGTATAGAGCTAGTCGAGATCTGAGTTTATTGCTGGGGCAACCAGAACCTTCAGCATCCTTCACTTGCTGTTCTCACAGTTCTAGCCGTATCGAAACCACTAGGCAGCACGTGAAATGCGTCGAGCGTGTCTCTACAGAAGTTGCCCACTTAACAGAGACTGCCAAATCCCGTTTTGCATATCCAGTCGTCAGTCTTTGGACGGAAGGCCTGCTGGAGACTTCGGCGGCTATGCCGGGTGTCCTTTCAATGAACACCCGTGTGCAGTGCCGCAGCTGCAGCTTAAATTGCACAGCTCTTCAAGCGCCTCGTGCACCTTGCCAGGTGTCCAGTATGCATGACCATGCAGAAAGATCTGCTTCGATGTCCGGCCTGCCGCAACGTCGGCTACTGCTGCGATGCTCCAAGAGTGTTACGGCAATGGCAAAGCGGCAAAGCATGGGCAATGCACTTCGCCTTTATTGCGGCCCATGTCCAGGTGTGCAGCATCTGCAAGAGGATGCTCCTCGACATCGCGTTTGGTGCTCCTCGCGAGCGTGACGACCAGCGTGCCAACACGGCATTGCAAAACAAGTGCTGCATGATGCTGCGTGTTGCTGTGACTGCTGAAGACATCTGCAGCCAGTTCTCGGGTGGCAAGCTCATTGGCCCTGTCTTGGTTTAGGTTGCCCAGCTTGCATGACATCGGCTTGGACCGATCGGCTCCGCCAGTGCATTGTACAAGCATGTACTTGATACTTTCAAGAGCAGTTGTCTTGCATTGTTCACTGATTTTAGCACTGACCTGCAGTAAATCGATCAGGATTTGATGCGAAACAGCGCCAGAACGAACAGAACTAACACATGCGTCCGTGTTCGGAGGCAGTAGCTCGGAGTATGGCTTCCGATGACGGCACCGCCTGTGAGAAGATGTCTTGCACTTTGCCCGAGGCCTGCAAACATGTTGGTGCGCAAGGCTTGGGTCCTGCTTGCTGTTACCACTGTAGACATTCAGACAATCCTGTTGCCGCTGCTTCTTGGGCTCAGTGGGGGCTTGCCAACATCGCAGACCCAGTCTGTGCCAGCAAAGGCGCCAGCAAGAGATGTTGGGTCTCAGCATGTCGTGTTGCTGCGCGGATCCCGGGTGAGGTTGATGCGCACACATGTCGTGTTTCTGCTCTCGCCGACGCTCCTCACGACTGCAGGCACGACAATGCATGTCAAGGCCATTGGTTGGGCAATGTAAGGCGTCGACTTGTTGTAGCCTGAGGCATCACTCCAGCCTCCCACAGTGGCTGTTGCCATCAAGGTAGGAAGACCATGCTTATGCATGCAAGGGGGGAAGGGGGACGGGTAGGTTCAAACTTTGTCAGTCTTGGAGGCACGGGAGGATTTGGAGTGTCGAGGCGGCTGTGCTGTGAGCATCGCCCAGTCATGGCCAGTCCAGCCTGGGCGCCTAGTTTTCCTGCAGGAACTGGCCCCAACCTGCGCGACCTGAGCGACGAGGTTGCTGCCTCCGTCGCGAAGCATCAGTGAGTAGTACTCTCGCTATTGGAGATGTCGAATGCCGAGGTTCTTTCAACGATCCTGCTTAGAGACCTGGCTACTGTTGGCGGTTACAGAGAGAGCGATCCACCGTTTGTTGCACGCACCGTGCCATGTTGCTCAGGCCTCCGTGGTACTGAGGTTGCAGCATCCCTGGGTCCAGTGGCGCGATTCCTTCAGCATCGTCTAGACGAAGAGGCCTCTAATCCTCTGATGCTTTACAGAACAGAGCCAGCAAGCTGATGGAATTGAGGCGAGGCTGATGGAAGTGCTTCTACACATGCAAACAGTCGAAAGCCTTGCCAAGGACATCTCTATGGGCAAGGTTCTTGAAGCAGGACTCGATAGAGTATGTGCTTTCGTTGTTTTGATGCTGCTGGCGAAAGCCCTTTTCAGGAGTTTCATGGTGATGAAGCCAAGGCAGAAGCGGCCAAATCCATCTATAAGGTTTTGATCCAGAGGAGACGATGCAAAACTATCGAGTGGCGAAAAGTTCCTTGCCAGCACACCCTCGGAGCGAGAGAAGGCTCGCCCGGGATGTTCTTCCGCTACGGCCGTGTCTTCGTTTTCGGTGGCTGGGGGTCACAAGGTCCAACGAGTGACTTGGATCCAGATTGGGGTAGCGGTCAAACAACAAGGCGAAACGGGCGCACGTTCTCGAACGCGGCGGCTAGAACAACAAGTGTTCCATGAGCGCAAACAGCGCTATCGTGCTTATGGTTCATAACGACATATGATTGTAGGTTTCCTGCAAATCAACAGCTGTCTTTGTACGTCTTAATGTGTCGTTACAGAGATGTCAGCTGCCTATAAATCTATGTTGCAAGACATGCCTGGCTGTCTTGGCTTCGTTTTGCCCTCGCTTTTCTGGCCTTTGCCAGTCATGGAAGGCATTGCAAACCCAGCACCTGGGCAATCATGGGCATGTGCGACACAAGGAACCTCTCAATGCCTAAAAGCCAATCCAGGAGGAGCCAGTCTCATGCAGAGTCGCCTCAGAACGCATGTACTCGTAGCGCGTGAAGCTGAGGTGATCTCCATGTGGGGCCTTTGGCAGTACCGCTTCGCTTGCAATCCATTCCGATTGAAGGGCCCCCGGAAGGCCGGAGACCTCCACCAACCTACGAAGCGAAGCTCACCGTCCTAGACGAGGGCGACATGGGCGACCACGGCGACTTCTCTGTGCGCGTTCTTGTGACGGGGGGCTACTTGCATGGTGGTGGCGACCTCAGGCCTCAGAAGGATAGATGAGACACGCAGACATGTTTTCGTTGGGCTTCGAATCGAACACTGATTGAGGCTACTTCGGTGAGAGCTCTAGCTACGGCCTCATGGAAATCAGTGGCAGGGAAGATGTTGTTCGAGCGCGGTGGGTGAAGACCGGAGAGATGACACCGCGCTCCAATCACAGCGCCACGTACGTGCCGGCAAAGGTCGCAGGTTGCGCGTTTCCTTCGGGCTACGTGCTCGCATTCGGGGGTAACACGAACGGGTCTGTCTCGAGCTCCCTCGACTTGCTTGATCTATCCTCTTTGACGTGGGTCGAAAACATAAGCTGCGACGGTGACCCGCCAGCGGCACGGAACTCTCACAGTGCAACACTTCTTCGATGTGAAGAAGGAGACGGCATTCTCATAGTGGGAGGTGGGTCTGGGGATGAGCGGAACGGTGGACCTCCTCGGGGAGGACAAGATTTAACAAGCCCTGAAAGTGGTGCATACTGGCTTCTCGGGCTCGATGGACTTGCACGCTTTAGGTGGAAGCGACAGCCTTTGACATCCGAAGCACCGCTCGTGCATGGTCGGGGCCATGTTGCGGTTCCTTTGTCTGGCACTGACACAGTGGTGCTCGTCAGCGGTGGCCGCGCTCCAACTCCGCATTGCACTGCCTTTTCATCTTCCCATCAGGTTCGGATGCAGAATGGGCACGGTCACCCAGCCCCCCGAGCTTTTGGCGGAGGCTGTGCCCTGCCAAACGGCATGGTTATGGTGTATGGTGGCTGGAATCCCAGACAAGGCACCTATAACTGCTTTTGGGCGGCATGCGTGGACGAGGTGGGGTCAAAGACGGACTTCTTCCAGAAGCTTGCCGAGGCGCCAGAGGAACCGGAGGTAGAGAATGACGACTCGGACGAAGACTCCATGTTCAGCATTCCGATGATGCTCCGCATGGCCCAGATGGCCCATCTGGACGAAGGCCGGCTGCCTTCTTACCCGAGGCAGCGTGAAGGCTTCGGAAGTGGAGGATATCCTGGCTTCTTCGAGGGCGCAGAAGAGGAGGAGGAGCACGAGGAGCTGGAAGAGTTAGACGATGACACCGACGAGGCTTGAGAAAGGGTGTCTAGGTCTTCGTGTCGCGGGTGGGCTGGAAAACATATTAAAATCCCTTGTGTTCTTTTGGTGCCAGTTTTCCTTTTCAGCGGGCCCTGAACGGTTCGACTGCAAGCTGTTGGGGTCGTCATTTTTGATTGTCACTGATGGCCACATGGAAGCGACGAAGTTGTGCAGATGTTCTGCTTTGCTGAGCCCCTCGCTTTCCCGGCGGGCTAACAATTCGAATCTGTTTTGGCAGAGATGCCAACAAAAGCTAAATCTGAAGGTCAGTTCAACTGCGCCTGTGGTGGCCGTGTTTGTGAATGTGATTCGTCTTACCAGCGGCCATTTAGGGCCCTTGAGCATATCAGATAGCTTCGCAGTTTGTTGGGGAAAAGCCGACCAGTTCCAAACTAAAGTTAAAAACATGATGGGAAGTTGGGAAGTGAAATTGAAATGAGGCGTAAATGTGAAACCCAACAGGATTGGTGCATAGCAGATCCCCGGAGCAAGCTTGCGTGCCGTGGTCATGCCATCATGTGCGAGTTGAACTGGTTTCAAGACAGGATGTAATCGCCACGCATGCCCTGGTCTGCTTGAACACCTGGGACAATAAGCGAGGGAGCAGAGCAGAAAACATGATCTGACCAGGAGGCATGGTATGCCAGGTTCCGAGGTCCTAGGCTTGTGCGAGAATCGAGGTCACATCGTCCAGTGAGGGCGTGGCTGAATGGGATTTGTCTGACGCCTGAGAGCTTCCGGGCCACAAGACTGTTTCCCCAAGCACATAGCCGCGAAAAGCAGGAAAGTCTGCCCGAGACAAGCAACCGGAGAGGTCTGTGCAGAGACACTCCCAGAAAGGGTCTGTGCTCCGGGCAGCAATCAGTAACTTTTCTCTTGATGCACGAGTTGCTTTCTCAAGCAGGCATGTACATAGAAATGTTTCGGTCCGCTTCTATGCAGAAGCGAATTGACCATTGACTAGTTTGTAGAAATCTTATAGTCTCGGCAAAAGAGACGTCGGAAATTGGCTTTGCTACTAGTATGTGCGGTGCAGCCAAGGGAAAAGTGATCGAATCATGTCTTGGTGAGATGTCAAGAACTTAGTAGAAAGGGGTGGCAAACGGCTGTGCCACTTGCCAGGTCCGAGAGGGTGGACTGACCTGGCTTAGCATGGTCGGTGCCTATGTTCTGCAATGCTAACTTGTTTCACCTGTGTCGCCCGGCTTGTTTGCATCCGCCCTTCCTCGCTTAGGCTCGATGCTGTTGAAGAAACTTCGGTGTATGTTCCTGGTTGCGGACTTGGACAGCTGAAGCATAGAACTGTGGCACTTGTTTGACATGTTCTCGTTGGCAGCAGGATCGGTACGAAAGATCACACCCTCCGATATGTCTTTTGGCTCAAGACTATCGCATCTGGCCCAAACACCCGTTGGGCAACAACTCGAGTCTTCTGTGGACTTCAAGCAGAGGAGCCGTAAAGCCCGTCTGCTTTGTCAGCTAAGAAATCCCAACCAAAAGCGTCTTCTTGCTGGTCGTGATCGTCAACGTCATGGCCGACTTCACAATGTCGACGGCATCGCAGACCCTCGACGCCGTTTACAACTCTTTGGCTCCCCTGTGGGTTGAGCTCTCCTTCTTGTTCTTCTTTTCCATGGGTTTCTTCTACCTTCGCGCCGACACTTTCAAAAAGACCAAAAAGGGCAAGATGAAAGGTGGCCCGCCCACTTTTCGACCCACCGCCCGAAGGACCATGGAGACCGAAGCTGCAGCAGGCAATGCCTCCAAGCTCCTGCAGGCGTGGCGCGATGAGCAGGCACAGGCGCCCACCCCGAAAGACCTCCTGAAGCCTGTGGTGCAAGCCTTCGTGGATGCAGAGCCGGAACAGCTCGTCGACGAACTCGTTGAGCACCTCCGCTTGCACAAGGAGGTTTTGGTGAACTCTTGGGCAGGGACCGTCATCTTGGACACGGTGGCTCGTTCGGGAAACGTGGAAGTGATGATGGATTTGTGGGACATCTACCAGAAGAAGCTTTGCCTTGCTCGCAGTTGCTCCATGTATGAAGTGGTTTTGGGCGGCTTCGCCTCCGCCGGCCATCCTGATCGGGTCGAAGAGTTTGAGCACATGATGCGGAAGGATCGGCTCAAGCTCTCGCCACGTGGGCACTCCTTGATTATCAAAGGCTTCTTGAAGAATGGCTTGGTGGATGAGGTTCTCAAGAGGATTGTCTCCATGACCAAATCGGGTCATGTTGTTCCAGCCTTTGCTGTGGCGCAGTTCCTTCGTGTGGCGGCTGAGAGCTCCAAGGCAGCAGCCATGTATCAGAAGCTCATCGAACACGGCGTGGCACTGGGAACGGAGGCAGTTACAGTCATTCTCGAAGATTGTGTTCGCAATCATGATGCCAAGCTTGCCAGAGAAGTGGAGAAGGCAGCGCGAGAGGCCAAGGTCTCCTTCGGAGTGCATGCATATGACGCGCTGCTCAAGGTCTTTGCTGAGGACTGCGATGTTCATGCACTTGAGATCTTCAAGGAAATGCAAGCCGAAGGTCACACCATCAGCGAAGGGCTGTGTGTGGGTCTCCTCGCCCGCTGTGCGGACGGCAAGTTCCTTAGCTTTGCGGAGGAGATCGTCCGCTTCGTGCGAGCGGGCCCGGGGATGAGCATTGCGGTTTACAGCGGCTTGATGAAGGTTTATGCCTACTCTGGGATGTACAGCAAGGCCTGTGACTTGTACGACCAGATCCGCCAAGACGGCTTGGAGCCGGACACGATGATGTACGGCTGCCTCATGAAGTTCTCCGTCGAGTGTGGTCGGACCCAGCTCTCCCAGGAACTCTCCGAGAAGCTCTCCGTCCTGGACATCCAGACACCCGGCCCAAGCTCGGTTTTGTTTCCTGACCTGTTTTGTTCCTGTTCTCACAAGCAAGGAACTACATGTCGCTCATCAAGGCCGCCGGCCGTGACCGTGATGTGGACAGGGCCTTTTCCATCATCCAGCGCCTGCGCGAGAACAATGTCCCTGGGCAGAGCTTCAGTGCTGCTGTCTCACGTTCAGGTGTCAGGAAAAGGAGCAAAGATACTTGTGGCAGCTGGCACGGATAGGACCTGTCGCGTGCATGGCCACGCAGCCGTTCTCAGAAGGCTGCCTAGAGCCAACACACGTTTCGTTCGGGGGAGAGCATGCTTGAAGCGTAGTCGGTCTTCCCTCAGATTCGACGACATAATTGAAAATCTCTTCAAGCATACCTTAGTAAGTATCGGGGTGCAAGACCGGGGTGTAACCGATGGCTGAATGGATGCTGAATGGCTTCACGTTCTGATCTGGTGAAGAAGTGGCTCAGCAAGGGCGGGGCTACGCCAGCATGCCCAGCACACGCGGCCAGCCCAAGCGATTTGCTTCTCTTCAAGGGGTACCGCGCGCCTGAGAAGTGCGAGCTTGAAAGGCAGACCACCAGCGCGGTAGACTTCGACATTGCTGCACAATCAGAACAAGGTTCATCTTCCAACTCTGATCTGGAAGGCATGTATGCTTTTAACGGCATTGTCCAGACAACGGAAGAGTCGCAAGAGCATACCCGCTCTGCTGCAAGTTCATCTAGTGCACTGGGTGTCTCAACTCCAGTCAATAGCAGTTGGCTGGCCGTGGCCGGAGAGGCCCAACCTGGTAACTCGGGTACAGCGGCGCCTGCAAGGACAGTGGCCAGCGCAGACTCTGGAGGGTGTCCAGGCCGGGACCTCCGCGGCAAAGTTGAACCCTTGGAGTCAGGCTTGCAGAGAAAGGCTGCGAGGATACGAGCCTGCCAGATTGATGTTTCGAAGCTTGCGAGCAGTGGCAAGTTAACTGGTGGGGCCTGTCGAGGTGAGAGACTCTGTGGCAGTGCGCACTCGCAAGCAAAGAGTTTGTTGAGCTTTGGTGGCAAGGACGCCTCGGATATCCTCGCTAGGCTTGGCAGCAAACCACAGCGTACATCCGGAGCTGTTGCAGCCGATTTTCACAAGTCCAGCCCCAGTCTGGACACTCGGCGCCGAAGCGACACGCCTGTCCCCGTTGGGCGAGCTTCCCGCAGGCAGTGAAGATGCCCCCTGAGCAACCGTCTTGGCAGCCGGTGCTTTTGGTGGGGCGTCCTGTGAAAATTCAGACGACAAGGCCGTCGAGACCCCGGTGACCTCATCGCAGTTGAAAAGGCATCTGGAAAAAGATAGCTCTGCAGGCCTGGCCTGCGTGATCCGAGTCAGCTTGCGAAGGAGAGATATGCCTATCAGGTGCCCGAAGAGTGAGGTACAACAGTGAAACCAAGGTACAGCCGAGTGCCACAGCCTGCAGAACGTAACTTTCGTTCTTTCAAACAACGCTCCGGCACTCGTTGTTTTCCGCTTTCTCTCGCCTGTCTTTCTGTGTCAACCAGCTCGTGTATATCCATGATGAACATATGCGGTCTGGGTAGATGTGGCCTCAGTGCCTTCCTCTCACCAAGTGTGTCAGCAAAGTCTTGGGCCAGCTCAGGTGAAACCGGATGCCATTGCCTTCAACTGTGTGCTCGACGTTTGTGTCAAGGCTGGTGACCTGGTCCGGGCGCGAAAGCTTGTACAGGAGATGAAGGACACCTGCTTGCAGTTCCGGCGGTTCTGCCGTCACATGCAATCCAGGGTGAGAATGCACATGATGGCAGGAGCTCGGCCTGCTTGCAACCCGGCTGAAGACATGATTTCCACAATGGGAGCGACAGCCTAGGGCCTAGGGCCTTTCTGCAAGGACATCATCACATACAACACCCTCTTGAAGGGCTATTGCACGAAAAGCGATCTCAAAGGTGCCAAGGACATCTCAGCTGTCAAGTAAAGCAACGCCTCCAACATTCACATATGCATTCCAAAAAGGAGCTCCTGTCGGAGATGTCAGAAGCGGGATTCCAGCCCAACGACGTCTCCTACAACTGTTGCTCGAGCTTGCAAATTAGACTTGCATGGTGTTCAGCACTGTGTCCGTTCTCTTTCCTCTATTACTTCATCCGGGAGGCATTTTGAACACGGCTGTGAACAAGGGTAGCTTCGAGGAGGCTTGGGACACCATCGCAAAGATGGAGGCTTGCTTACAAAAGGCACTAGGCACGCCAGACACTGTCACTGGATTGGTACTGGTATAAGTCATGGTATGTTTCTCCTGCACTTAGGAGCAAATGAATGTGCCTCCCGACCACTACACGGCACCAAGCCTGCATTTTGCATCCGTGGCCTGTGCCGGTGATGATCGACATGGTTTCATCGCGTTTCTGCTTAGCAGGTGTCGATTATGCTCAAAGCGCTGAAGAGGGCGAAGGGACAGAAAGATGTCAGCTGCTTTGAGCGATACCTCGAATGGCAAATGAGATGCTAGCTGCCACAAGGGATGCCACTCTCGCAATGCCAAGGTCAGCCGATGCTTGAACTTCTTGGACCGTTCCCACATCGATCCTTGCTCTGATGAGATTCTGATGAACACGGCCCCTTGGAATGATCTGGTCTTCAGTGTCTTCAGCCACTCCAGTCCAGCTATGTCCTTGTATTGCACTCCAAGTGCTCTGCGGCTGCTTCCTCCGAAGGTTTTGGAGACGTACATCCGGCACAAGGAGTTCAGGCGCCGCTGCTCTGAGGGGTACAATGTACCGTGAGTATGGTGCACCGCCAAGTGCCCCAACCGTGTGTGTGGCATCATGCCCAGGCGGCTAGAGACCCTCCTCCACAAATTCGCAGCTCAGCCTGCAACGACTCAGGAAGCAGCATTTCTATTTTTGCGTCTTTGCCTGTCTCAGGAGCAGTCCAACTTGCGGCCATCGGTTCCCACCTACGGCTCCATCATCAAGGCCTACGCCAACCTCAAGTGTCCCGAGAAATGCTGGCACTACTGGAATGCAGCTCGGCGTCTGCGGGGGGTTTTGCCCTGGCCTATAGCCCCCAATTGCGGTTCGCATCTCAGGAGATGCAGGGGCAGCGAGGGCTGGAGCCGAATGACATCGTGTATGGCTGCATGCTTGATGCCCTGGTCTGTAACGGACAAGTCGATGAAGCCGTTCAACTCTTCGACCTGAGCTCAGTGTGAGAACTAGGGCCTGGGGCCCAGAGGTGCTTGCTTGTCTGATCTGAGGAGAAGAGCAACTTGAAGCCGAATGCCGTGCTCTGCTCCATTCTTGTGAAAGGATTCACAACCACTGGCCAGTCTCAGAGAGCCATGGATCTTTGGCACGACATGCGGCGCAAAGGTGTGCGAATGAACACGGCAGCCTGCAATGCCTTCGTGGATGCGCAAGCACGGATCGGCAATATGGAGGACGTGCTGGAGATAGTTCAAGCCATGGATATGGACAACTGCCAGCCCGATGGCATCACCCACTCGACCATCGTCAAGGGATACTCCGTGAGAGGTGATCTGGACAAGGCCATGGAAGTCTTGCGTGGCATGCAGGAAAGTGGCGTTTACCACGATGCAATCGTCTACAACACAATCCTGGATGGTTGCACCAAGCACAAGAGATCTGACTTGGTCGACCGGATTCTCCAAAGCATGGAGGAGCACAGGATTGCCCCGACCAACTTCACTCTTGGGATCCTGGTGAAGTTTTACAGCCGCCAGAAGCAGTTGGAGAAGGCCTTTCAGGCCATGGCCTCCCTCCCGAAGCGGGGCAACTTCGTACCAAACTGCCAAGTCTGGTCGTGTCTGATGGGTGCCTGCTTGATGAACGGATCCCCTTCCAAGGCTTTGCAAGTCTTCCGTGACATGCGACAGGCAGGCCAGAGTGCCGACACCCGTGCCTGCACATCTCTTGTGTCCGGCTTGGTCCGAATGGGACAGATGAGGGAGGCTGTCCAGGTGGTCGAGGAGGTTTATGGCCTGAACAATGGCAAAGGCATGAAGAACCACGGTGTTTCCATTGAGCAAGACTGTTTGGAGAGCTTGCTGGCCGCTTTGGTCCAGAAAGGCCTCCGTGAGGAGCTGGCTGCACCTCTCCTGGAACGGCTCCGTGCCGCAAAGGTCCAGATCACCGGCAAACTCATGGCTGCCACCCTTGCAGAGGAGCGCTCTCCGGAGCGTGCCGAGCGTGCCGGCCGTCAGTTCAAAGGCCGTGATGGTGGTCGCTTCTGATTCAACCCGGAGCCGACTGCGCCGTCTGCACCGATGCCATGTGCACCATGAAATGCCCATCTGTACAGCCGGGCATAGCTTCGTGGCTGTATTCTCGATCTCGTGTTGCAGACTTTCAGAAGCTTGCATGAAAAGATGTGAGCACGGCTGTTCAAAACGAGGTGCATTCTTCTACCAGGATCCTCTGGAAGCCTTGGTCGGGAGAAGCACAGGACTGACTTGTTTCAGGCCTGAGATTATGCATGTGGCTGTTGCGATCTGACCTACTTAGCATGCGTCAGACGTGTTCTTGAGCTTCGCCGCGTGTGCAGGCTCCTGCTGACGTCAGGCGGCCATGCTAACTCCCAGCAGTTTGTCTGCTGGCACCTTGCCACAGGGCATCCATCTGGAGAAGCCAGGAAAAAGGTTTCGGATCTGCGCTGGGGTTTGCTTGCCCAAGCTTGACATGGAGACAGCAGAAGCTGTGTCGCTTATTGGTCGTCCAGGCCATCGCTGTGGTGCAGGCCCGACGTTTTCAGCCAAGTGAGTGTGCCGTGAACAAACAGCCCGATTTTTGTTGACTTCAGGAGTGCCTCCAGGCATGAGTTCAGGATGTATTCCGACGTCAGTATATCCATTGCGCTGCCAAGCACAGCCGGTTTATAGGTGCGAAGCCTACAAAGTGCAGAAGACCTGGATGCGTGCACGGTTTGCCAACTCTTCGTCTTGGTGCGCCAGCGTCAGTGTGAATCGCCCACGAGACGTCGCTCCCGAAATTTGGACGCCAGCTGCCTGTGAAGGTCGGTGTTCATTTCCAGCGGATGGACTCAAGCGGAGACATTTCTAACGCATGTGAACTACTTGCAGGGGAGCTACTTTGCAGCAAGTGGAAGAAGAAATTCAAAAGGGTCGTCTGAAGCAGCAACTAAGGCATAGACTCGAGGCACGACTTCTGAACCTGGAAGGCTCGTCTGAGCAGCCGGAACATGCTGTGATCTTTCAAGGCGTTGAGGCCGGAGTGCAAGGCCTTCCTACACAAGCAGATCCACAGGCCGTCACACGAAGAAGATGGATTTGGGTAGACCTCAACTGTGATGATGTTTGCAGGTTGGATGCTTCACAGCCCGGTTTCAAGCGATGGCAGCAGTGACACGGCTAAGGAATCAGTCAGTGAAAGGTCCGCCCTGCTCGTTTTCCAGGTCGGTATGTGTGGGAAGCTTCGTCTGCAACGCCTTCACGTCTTGGAGGAGAGAGGAGGCACGGCTCGGAGTCATCCAGTCTTATGGTCAACTGCAAGTGCAGGTCTTACACTGGCACAGGGCATTGGGGCTGTCGCCAGCATTTGACTCAACGGACTGGGACGTGCAGCCGGCAGAGGATGCACCGATGTGCCGACAGCTTACAAGACCTGCCGAATTGCAACGGAAGTGCCGCCTGAGGAGCGCGACAGCTCACCGTCGAGGCCTGTGGCAAGCGTTCCAGACAACACCTCGAGCTCGAGGTGTTCCGCCGAGCCGCTGGGGTCGGAAGATCCCTTGGCACGGCGGTGCCTTGGCGACGCGGCCGACGCGTATGATGACCTTGCTGACGTTCGCGTAGTGGCAGTGGTCTTCACCGGGCGTGGGTCCCGAATGCGTGCGCTGCTGCCTTATCTACGCCGGGACCTGAGAGCCCACCAGGGAATTCTGGACCGCATTATTTTCGCTCTGATTCGAGTCCTGACTGCAGACAACACTTTCTGTTTCTTCCAATCGGACGGGCCTCTGGTCTCACTCAGAACTGCAATCGTGAGAGTGCTGAGGACCAGATTCTTTGGCATTGACACTCGTTGAGCAGATGCAAAGCCTCTATGCGCACATACCGAGCTGCATTGAGATCCGAGACTACACGGAAGCTTCGTGGTCAGATTTTCGCCAAGATTCTCCGGCAAACTCGCATCACCGCATCCCAATGCTGTACAAATCATTGAATGAGACCAACACGGTGTATGTCAAGGCAAGTCGAGGTTGTGGTCGTGGTTGTTGTGGTTGTGGTGGTTGTTGTTGTTGTGCCGCCGCGAAGGGTGTGTCGATTTCGGAACTTCAATGTGCCAGAACTCGAGATTTGGCACGTTGCAGTTTGCGCAAAAAATCTGCGAATCGGGTTTCGCATCGGTTTCTACATTGCTTTCCTAGAAAAGCAAAAACCGGATGATTTTGTACATTCGATTCGCATGTCGTTTCTATCGCAATTTCCGGGCTTCCGTGCCTTCTTCGTTTCCGTTTGGCTTGCAACTCGGCTGCTTTGCTTCTATGGCTTTCGTTTCTCTTTGTCTTTTTGGCTTCTTGGCGGGGTGGGGAGGGGAGATGGGGGGATGTTAACGTCCATGGCGATGCGGCCTGTGATGTTCGCTTATGTTTCTATTCTTTTCGTTTGCTTTCGTGGGGGGGGGGGGTGGCCGGGGGGCGGGGTGGGCAGGGGGGATGGGGGGCGGATTTTAACAACGTCCATGGCGATACGGCTCGTGATATTCGCATGTATTTTCTTGTTGTTTTCGTTTGCTTACGTGGGGGATGTTAACGTCTGGTTTTCTTCTTGTTTTCGTTTGCTTTCGTGGGGGGTGGCGGGATGGGGGGGTGGATAAACTTCTTCGTGCTGCTCCCGAGGATGATCGACAAATGCTCCCGCTGATGCTGATCTTCCTGTTGTTCAGGATGATGGTCATGATGATGATGAGGAGGATGACAATGAGAATGACCATGACAATGACTATGATGATACCAGCCGCACTGACAATTGTTATGTCTTATGTGCTATGTGACACGGACCCACAGGCCTAAAAAAACGTGTTATTCTTCTTTATTACGTTTTTGCACAGACACAAAACAACAACTTTAAAAACACCCAAAACTCAATCAATCAAAGTAATGAAAATCACAATGTTTGCGACACATCCGCAAAAAAACAGCTTCAAAAACCAGAAACACACAAAAATCGAGATCTGCAGCTTTTTCGCTAAACATGCTCCGAAGAAGCGACACACCCTTCGCGGTGGCAAACGCGCCCGCAACCTTGTCGCTGTCGCTGTCGCTGTCG